GACTCGTTATAGTCTCAATAAGTTTCTCTCTCTCTCTCTCTCTCTCTCTCTCTCTCATCATCCCTTACGATTTTTATATTCTATCCTGTATTTCTTTATTCACCTTTTCACGCTCGCAATCTGTACAACGATTCACGCGTGGCGTTCGGCTTTCCGGCGATTTGTCGAAGGTAGAACCCCGAAGTGGCACCGATTTACTCCTCGTCCGCGTGATCCAACCGTCTCTCTTTTAATTCATCTTTCGTTTGTCTTCCTCTTTTTTTTTTACGTTCGACCCCGCTAATAACCGTTTGCACCCTAATAAACGAGAATCGCCGATGGGCGTGAAATAGATCGTTCGCAGAGAGGGAGAGGGAGAAACGATTCGACGGGAGCCCCCCCCCCTGACAGGGGATGATACAGGCGTAGTTTACGCCGAGGCGTAACACTTAAACCTCTTTTTTTATCATCCCGGAGTATCGACGCGGCATCGAGTGTGGTGACCCCACGTGAATCCACGCGTACGCGGCCGCGCGTAATTGTTCGGAAATCGATACTTCAGGATCAATCGGTGATATATACAGGCTATTCATCTCCGCGTGTCTCCGGGAATAATAATTTCCGCGAGGGACAAAGAACGTTTTCTCTCGCGCTTCATCCCTCGTCGAAAGAATCTGCGCGCGAAGGATCAGACGGCGGTCTTGGACACGTCGAAGATGAAGCTCGGGATCGCGCTTGTGAAACGACGGCGAATCGACCGTTTCGCGATGAAAAGCTTTACAATCGATCGTACGAGGCAACGGGAGAAGATAAGAGGAAGGAGAAGAAGGAGGAAGAGGAGAGAAGAAGGGTCGGGATCTTTGCACCTCCTCGCTTCCTTTTTCGTGCGACGAAGGAAGACGATTGATCTCCGGCGACGCGGGAGAGACGTGTCGATCGTCTTCGGTTCGTAACGTCCACAGATCAAAACTAGACGGAGATTACGAAAGCACTTTCGAGAACGCACTTTCCTCGACGTGCGGGCGCGACTATTAATCGCGCTAATCACTTTTGCGCGTGTCCTTTTTGTTTTTCTTTCTTTCCTCTCTTTTTCCCATCTCTAAGTTCGAAGATTTACCGATTTAGTTCACGAGTCCGCCTTGTTTTACTGGTATGCCTGTGTATGTGTGTACGTGTGTGTGTATCTACGAGTGTGCATTCACGCCAGTGGCGTGTAAGGTCGTGTAGTTCTGGGAATGACGGCGAGCGAGATCTACTTCTCCGTGATCGACTGTAATTTTATATAATATTTGTAAGACAAATTAAATATTATGTACAGCATACCTGACAGTAAATAATAAGTATCTATCTTATATCTCTAAAATATCTCTGTGTTTGTCGCCCCCCCTCTTTCAGGCACCCGGATAATTGGATCGTCGAGACGAATCGATACGCCGCGTCCATTCCGTCACGCTTATCATCGTTATAACGGTCCAATGTTTATTATTAAATGCGATACGAAAATTCTCATAATTTTCGTCTGGGGAGAGGGCCCGCCGAACACTCGGCACGTCAAGCCCGTTATTATCAAGCCCGCTAGCTTGATTAAGCTTAAGCTAACGCATATCATGCGATTTAATTAGGATTTCCATCAAATAGCGATTGTGAATTAGCGCGGATAGATTGCCTACTGTGATCGTCCCCCCGATGATATTCATTGCCTAATTAGATGCCGCTCGCGCACGTTCGTTTGCGCCCATTGAAATCGGTACCATTCACGTAATCGGCAATTTTAGACCGAAGCATGACTGACAATGAGATATTCCTCGCGACACACAAAACAATACGCGCGACTCGCTTAATTAACTACGTTAAACGGTTCCTGGAGAATTTATCTTGTGATCGCGCGAGTCGATATAATTTTTAATGGTAGTTTGGAATCATATCGAATCATTTTAAAACGAAACACAAA